AGGGCGTTTGGTTGGAGAGGGGGAATTACATGGAAAGGAATTGCAATTCCATGGGAGATGAATTACTGAGAATAAAGTGAGAATTTAAATTCCAGTGTTTGGTTTACAGGAACAGAATTATTAGAAATTTCAATTTCAATGTTTGGTATACATGGGAATTAAAAGGGAATAAGTAGTATACAATCAAAAATGTCCATTATTGTTGTTAGACATTAATTTTAGGTTAAAAAAGGAAACAGTAATTTTGACTCATCAGTCATCACTATCTTTTTTTCTTCCTAAAATCACAAGAATTAAAATCCCAGAGGGGGGACATGGGATTTTAATTCCATGAAAATGGGGGAATTTCAATTCCATGGAATTGCAATTCCTTTTAACCAAACAAGGGAATTTGGTAGCCTTTGAAATTAGGTGAGAATTAAGTGAGAAGGGAATTTAAATTCCATTCAACCAAACGCCCTATTAGTTAGTGGCTATTGTGACTGTCACATTTAGTTATATTCTTTTAATTTTGCATCATTACATTCATCGACTTTTATTTGCTTGCCACAATTAATATTTCGTTTAAATTTATGTCATTCTACCATTTAATTAATAAAGATGACTAACATGTAATTTCATTATTTAAGCCTCTTGCCTCGACAAGTAATTTTATTAGCTCTCGTAAACTCTTTTTAATTTAATAGTGAAATGCATGGTATCCCTCTTTATTAAAAAGTAAAATGGTAGAAATTTAAACGGATGATTAATTGTGACAAACAAATGAAAGTCAATAATATAATGGAAGCATAATTAAAAGTGCATACTTAAATATGAAAATTGTTGACTTGAAACGAATTGTCAAATTCAAGACAAAAAGGGAATTCTAAATCTAGCAAGAATTAGGAATTATATTTCTAATCTAAATAGGAATAGTAACCCTATTCCTATCCCTTCTATAACTCTCGGCCTATATAAGAAGCATCTCAACAACTCTTCTATTCAAGCTTTCAACACCTAATTGTGAGCACGAGAGTCATTGAGAATAGATACCTAAATCCCCTTGAAAAGTAGTACAAGTGTTTAGATCACAATAGTTTGATAGGAAATCATATTGTGTAATCCCCATTCCCTAAACTAAGTGTACTTTGAATATTGAGCTTTTAGTGGATTTAGGCAGATTCTCAATTTGAGAAGTGCCTCGCAGATTAGGGTTGTTTGCCCGAACTGCGTTATAAATTAATTGTGTTACAAACGTCCATATTTATTTTCAATTCGTATCAGAGCAGGTCTGTTCAAGTTACTAGCAGGATCCAAATGGAATTTCCCAAAGAAGGACTTTCAAACAATAGACCACCAGCCCTACTTGGCACAAACTTCTCCTACTGGAAAGCACGAATGTAGATATACACTTTAGCACGAGGAGAAGGTGTCTGGAATGCAATAGAAAACGAATGGAAAACTCCAGTTGATGACAAAGGAAATAGAAAACCTAGAATTGACTGGAGTGAAGAAGAGAAAACTGAATATGACTTCAACTCGAAGGCAATGAATGCAATATATGGAGCAGTGAGCGAAGATACATTCAAACTGATTGCCACTACTCGCATAGCCAAAACCGCATGGAGTATATTATGCGAGCATCATGAGGGAAACACATCTGTTAGACAATCCAAGCTACAGATGATTCAAACAGAATTTGAAAATCTGAAAATGGAAGAAGAAGAAAGCATCACACAATTCAGTGCCAGAGTTTTGAGTATTTCTGGAGATGCATTCAATCTAGGGGAACATATACCTGAACATAGAATCGTCAAGAAGGTACTACGCTCACTACCTGGAAGATTCTTAATAAAAGTCACTGCAATTCAAGAAAACAAAGATCTGAATACATACAAACTTAGTGATCTAATGGGAAACCTTCAAACCTATGAGCTTGAGATGCTGCAAAATCAGAAAAACAATGGCAAAGGAATAGCACTACAATCCAAACAAGAAGAAAACTCAGAAACAGATTCTAAAACCATGGAACAGTCAATTGCACTATTGACAAAGAATTTCAACCGAGTCCTCAAAAAATTCAACAAATTCAGAAATAAAAATTCCTCGAATAGCCAAGGAAATTCTATAGTCAATAAAAAATCATCCAATACAAAACGAAGGGACAGATCAAATACTGAAGGAATACAATGCTATGAGTGCAAAGGGTTTGGACACATCCAATCAGAATGTGCCACATACTTGAAAAGGAAAAACAAGACATGCATAACAACCCTGAGTGATGACTCAGATAGTGAAGAAGACATCAACACAAATTTCGTAGCCTTCACCGCAAGTCATGAAATCAACAATAACGATGACATGCAAGAACAACTAGAGGCATATACTCAACTAAATGCCAAGTGGGAACAGATCATCAAAGTAAATCTAGAAATCATGGAAGAAAATCAATTTTTAAAGGATGAAAATGACCGGGGAGAAAAACGATAAAAAGAAGCTCAAGACGAATTATTAAACTTCAAAAACAGAGAAGCTAAACTGCTACAAGAAATTAAGGAGCTTACCGAAACCCAGGACTCCAAACACAGACACCAGTGAAAGTCACCAAACCGAGATACAGGAAGTGTCGCAACACCGCTTTCAACATCGAAGAAGAATAAGATGCTACTACTATCATAAACTGGGGCACATCAAAGCACACTGCTACAAAAGATAGAATGATCTTTATTACAGGCAAAACAAGCGAGTTTGGCCAACACGCAACAGAAATAATAGCAAGAAAATCTGGGTAAGAAAAGATCAAAATGTTGCATATACCTCCAAGACATACAAAGAACAAGATATATGGTATTTTGACAGCGGATGCTCTAGACATATGACTGGAAATCCAGAAAATTTAGACAACATACAATATAAAAATGAAGGATATGTTACCTTTGGAGATGGAGGAAAAGGGAGAATCATCGCAAGCGGAACTTTGAACGTACATGGGCTACCAAAACTATCAAAGGTCTTCTTAGTACAAGGATTAAAAACTAACTTGATTAGCATAAGCCAACTATGTGAAGATGAACTTAAAGTGGAATTTTCAAAGGACAGCTGCAATGTTCTCAACCAAAACCATGAATGTGTTATGATCGGGAGAAAACCCACAAATAAATGCTACACATGGGACGGTGACCTAACCTGCTTACGGACAACCGTCAATCAAACACAATTATGGCACCAATGGATGGGGTACATAAACTTTCATGACATGAAAAAGGGTTTAAAGAAGGGAATCTACCGAGGAGTTCCAACACTCGACATAGATGAAAACAAAAAATGTGATACATGCCTTGAAAACAAAATCACACGAACAACCCACAAGAAAACCTCGGGAATACATACTTCTAGAATCCTAGAATTACTTCACATGGACCTATTCGGGCCAACTCAGACAGAAAACATAGGAGGGAAGAGATATGTCTATGTAACAATCGATGACTACTCACGATTCACATTGGTAAACTTTCTTAGAGAAAAATCCGAAGCATTCACAATATTCAAAACCCTCATTATCAAAATCCAGAATGAAAAGAATGGAAGAATAGAGAAAATCATTCGTCTAAGAAATGATTATGGAAGGGAGTTCGAGAACTCAAAATTCAAAGAATACTGCACAGAAAATGGGATTCATCATGAGTTCTCCGCACCAAAGACGCCCCAACAGAATGGAGTAATCGAACGGAAGAATCGAACTATCCAAGAAATGGCAAGTGCTCTCTTAAATCACAAGAGACTTCCATCCAAGTTTTGGGCAGAAGCAGTTAATACAGCATGCTACTTGATAAATCGAGTATTTATACGAAAAGAAACCAACATGACACCATATCAAATCTGGAAATGAAAAACACCAAATTTAAAACACACACATGTGTTTGGCAGTAAATGCTATATACTAAAAGATAGAGAACCATTGGGAAAGTTTGACATCAAAGGAGATGCAGGAATTTTCCTAAGATACTCCTCAAACAGCAGGGCTTATCGAGTATTTAATCTTAGAACAAACACTGTCATGGAATCATAAATGTTGTTGTCAATGACTCAACATCAGAAGATCCCTCCACCAATGATGAAGAGGTAACTGTTGTTGAAACAACAGTTCCAACACAACCAGATCAGAAATCTGAAACAGAAACAACAGAGAAAGAAGAAGCAGAAGATCTTGAGGAAATTGAGGAAACCCTCACAACTGATGAGATGAGAATACAGAAAAATCATCCAGTAGAAAACATTATAGGAGGACTCAATGAAGGAATCAAAACTAGAGGAAAGAAACGAGACTATCGAAAAATGGAAGAAGGAGACTACGACTACTGCTACACCTCAAAAATAGAACCCAAAAACATCACGGAAGCTTTAAGGGATGAATTTTGGGTGGAAGCTATGCACGAAGAGTTACATCAATTTGAAAGAAACAATGTCTGGGAGTTAGTCTCTAAACCAGAAAACGCCAATATCATAGGGACAAAATGGATCTACAAGAATAAAACAGATGAATAAGGAAACATTATACGAAACAAAGCCCGACTAGTAGCACAAGGATACACCCAGGTTGAAGGAACAGATTTTGAGGAAACATTTGCCCCAGTAGCCAGAATAGAATCAATCCGACTTCTCATAGCAATAGCCTGCATACTCAAGATAAAGCTATACCAAATGGACGTGAAAACGGCTTTCTTAAACGGAAACTTAAAGGAAGAAGTCTATGTTGCTCACCAAAAGGATTTGAGGATACTCATCTTCCACAAAATGTATTCAAACTCAACAAAGCCCTATATGGACTAAAACAAGCACCACGTGCCTGGTATGAACGTCTCACTGAATTCCTAATAAAAAAGGGTTACAAGAGAGGAAGCGTGGATAAAACCCTATTTGTCAAACACTATGGACAAAACATTGTCATCGCACAAATCTATGTCGATGACATAGTCTTTGGATCAACACTCGAGAACTACAAAGATCAGTTCATCGCTAACATGGAAGGAGAATTTGAAATGAGCATGGTAGGAGAATTAAACTACTTCCTTGGTCTACAAATCAAACAACAAGACAATGGAATCTTTATATCACAAAGCAAATATGCCAAAAATCTCGTTAAAAGATTCGGTCAAGAAGAAAGCAAAATTGTCAGAACACCTGTTCCAACAACAGAAAGGATATCAAAAGATTCAGAAGGAAAACCAGTTGAACAAACTCTATATCGAAACATGATAGGAGGATTGTTATACTTAACTGCAAGCAGACCAGATCTAAGCTTTGCAGTAGGAATTTGTGCAAGATACCAAGCCAACCCAACTGAGTAACATTTAAAAGCAGTAAAAAGAATTATCAAATACGTGAAAGGAACTTCTAACCTAGGAATATGGTATTCATTCGACACCAATCATCATCTATCAGCCTACTGCGATGCTGATTGGGCAGGAAACATAGATGACAGGAAAAACACCTCAGGAGGATGTTTCTACCTAGGTACGAATTTAGTATCATGGATCAGCAAGAAACAAAGCTCTATATCTCTATCAACAGCAGAAGCTGAATATATTGCAGTAGGAAGTTGTGCACAATTACTGTGGATGAAACAAATGCTAGAAGACTATGGAATGCATCAGTCAACTATGATCATTCACTGCGATAATAAAAGTGCAATAGATATTTCAAAAAATCCAGTACAAAATTCAAGAACAAAACATATTGACATTAGGCATCACTTCATAAGAGAACTAGTAGAAGATGAAATCATCAGTCTCACTCATATCAGTACAGAAAAACAACTGGCAGACATCTTAACAAAAGCACTTGACGGAAATAGATACACAAAATTAAGGGCCGAAATAGGCTTATGTAGTCTATTAATCACTTAATTTAAAAGGCACATGGGTCGTGTCTACAAAAAAAAAGGGGAACAAATAAGTCAAGCCCACTATCATCCCTAATATGTCAAGTTGTAAAGGAAGCCCATATCAATGCCCAAAACCCGAATCCATCATCTCAAATATTTCCCAAATCAAAAAACAGAGTCATCATCTTCACCCGAAACCATTCATCGTCTACCCGAAAAACCGTCACTCACCCCCACACTCAACAAAGACAACAATGGTGAGAACCAGGAATCAGAGGATGGGAAAGATACCTCGAAGAGGGGTCACTGGTAGCACGTCTCAGTACACCGGCACCGGAGAATCCTCGAACCCAATGTGTGTCGAAGAAGAAAGCCCTCCTACTGTAGCAACGAATCCAGTCCCAATCTCAAGAGTCCCCTTCGGCGAGCCTCAAGAACAGAGCAACATCTCACCAGGTAACCCGAATCTTCCTCTAGTTAGCAATGATGAACAGCCCGATAGTATGCCCATTGCGGCTGACCTTGGGGACAATCGAATCGTTGACCCAAACGATCTAGTAATGCAACTGAGATTTGCCATAAATCGCGGCTGGGAACCCGATTTATCATCCTATGTTAGCTCCGAAGAAGAGATGAATCCGAGGGAGCCTGAAATAGAGGAACACGAAGAACCTCTAAACCGAGAGGCAAATCGTTCACCCAGCCCTCAAAACGAAGAACATACCTCAACTATTGAATCCCCAATTCCAATTTCTCGGGTCAACATGAACCCTAGAAAAAAGGAAGAAAACTGACCCGTTTGAAGGAGCTGATCCTAGAGCCAAAATGCCAAACGATTTTCCAATACGGGTAGGACCTCCTCAACGAAAGCCAAACATTCCACCTAAACCCTCAACAACCAAGAAATCAAGAAAGATAGTAACAGAGGATAAACAGAATTGGTTACCAAATGAAGAAGATGAAAACTCTGGTGGTGAAAGAGTAAGAACCCGAGCCCAAAAGAAGTCTCAACTATCTGCCAGAAAGGAGGGAAAACGAAAGATGAAAACATCAACCAAAGTGGTTAGACCATCTGCCAAGGAAAAGGGAAAACAGAAAGTAGTTAATGATGGTGACATGTCAAACATACCTAAACCCCACAGTACAACCTTTTTAAGAAAGGAATCCGTAAGCTTGTGGAAAAGAATAGTGGAGAAAAAGGTCATTAGCCAAAAATTGCTTATCATAGATAGGCTAGACAGTTCAGAACACATTCAGGAAGTTCTAATCACAAACCAACTTTTGGGAACAGTGACCAATGTTGAGCCCTATGATGAACAAGTGATACAAGAGTTTTATTGCAACCTAACAAAAACCACCTCTGTACCTAGCAGCCCTATGTATGGAAATATATACTTAAGAGGGAAGTTCTATGATTTCAGACCAGACACTATCAACAGCTACCTAGGGACACCTGAAGCTGAACAAAACATGGAAATAAGCAGTGAGCAAGTTGCACAGGAACTTACAGCTGGAAATGTTAAGTTTGAAAAGAACAAAATCAAAGCAGCTTCCTTAACAAGCAAGTATGCCATCCTCCAGAAAATTGCTCTTTCCAACTGGATGCCTTCATTACATGAATCCACTGTAAAGTGGACCTTAGCAGAACTGCTGTACAAGATAGGGAAAGGGATTAAGATCAACATGGGTAGCATCATACATTCACAAATCACAAACCTAGCAGAAGACACAAAATCCAACACCTCCCTGATTTTTCCAAACCTCATCTTTGCCATCCTGACAAAACAAGGTCTCAAAACTCATGGGCCAAAGACCATGGTAAAAAACATCAACACTACAGTAAAACTGAGGAAGGGAAACCATCAAAATGATCTAAAGACCTTTGCTCCAAAGGACAATCCACTTGATTCCAAGACACTAATAAACTACTTTGAGGGAAGATTGACAGAGTTGGAACACTCAGAAAAACAACTCCTAAGAAAACACATGGACATCAAGGAAGAAAAAGCAGAGATAGCTGAATGGCTGGCAATCCTAAAAGCAGAAAATGAATAAGATCAAAAAGAAAATCAAGGATCTGAAGAAGAAAGCCAGGAGCATCCTCAAGAGAAGGGTGTTGAAAACCCTGTTAAAACATCAGAATCAGAAGATGAAACTTAACCTTTTAGCAAAAAAGGGGGAGAAGAAGACAGTTTAAACAATTTTGTGTGGCACAAATGTTTTTATATTTTTTTGTAACAGGTAGACCAGGCAGAAAAGTGAAGAAACAACATTTTTTTTGAAAGCCAGCACATGTGGACTCTGATGACCTGCAGACCAGGCAGAAAAGTAAAGAAGCAGCACTTTTATTTTGAAGCCAGCACATGTGGACTCTAATGACATGTGTGTCATTTAAAACTACTTTCTATATTTGCTATGGTAACCTAGAAAGACTGTAAATACCATTATCTGGTATATATATAATTTTTGCATATAGGGCCAACAACTGTTAGGTCCATATTACACACTGGTACCAGTTTCCAGTCTATGCCAGTTTCCAGTCCAGCTCTTGTGTAATTCTGATGACAAGATCAAGAAAGGTTCCACAAATTAAGGGGGAGATTATCAAGAAAGGTTCCACAAATTAAGGGGGAGACAACCACACGTGTCATACCTTGAAGAATCAAGATGAATCAAGGTTTTTGCTAAAATTTGACAAAGGGGGAGAATGTTGACTTGAAACGAATTGTCAAATTCAAGACAAAAAGGGAATTCTAAATCTAGCAAGAATTAGGAATTATATTCCTAATCTAAATAAGAATAGTAACCCTATTCCTATCTCTTCTATAACTCTCGGCCTATATAAGAAGCAACTCCACAACTCTTCTATTCAAGCTTTCAACACCTAACTGTGAGCACGAGAGTCATTGAGAATAGATACCCAAATCCCCTTGAAAAGTAGTACAAGTGTTTAGGTCACAATAATTTGATAGGAAATCATATTGTGTAATCCCCGTTCCCTAAACTAAGTGTACTTTGAATATTGAGCTTTTAGTGGATTTAGGCAGATTCTTAATTTGAGAAGTGCCTCGCAGATTAGGATTGTTTGCCCGAACTGCGTTATAAATTAATTTTGTTACAAACGTCCATATTTATTTTCAAAAATGTCATAGTAGTTGATGACTAAAAGTGAAATTACTTAATTTTTATTGAAAGAAAAATCACGTATTATTAACTTAATAAATGTTGAATACAAAGCGGAGGGGTATCAATCCAAGTATGTCGGTCAAATTGAGAGCCAGTTTGCCAGGGTATGGGCCAGCTAGTTTGCTGAGCAAGGGGTAAAATGACAAATAGAATTATGAAATAAACTAAGTAACTTATTACATTGCTCTAAAATAGGACCGGTGTATGTATGAAAGGTCATTTTTACGTATTGGGATGGCCTCAACAATGTTACAGCAGTGTGATTTCAAACAAATCTTGGTATAATTCATGTCTTTAAGTCAGGAGGGGGTCTCACGACAAGTCATGACCTCTGCTCGATAAGGGTCTTGACTACAGATGATTGATCCACTGGTTACCGCTATAAAAATTACTGTCTCCTTCAAGAAGTATTGCTCCAAACCCCACCATACTTTATTTAATTTTTATTAATGACATTTAAAGATAATATTTAAAAACTTGTGGGGTAAATCTACTGCTTAAAATACTTAAACCGCGTGACACAACTCCCACATTGCATCATGTTGACCTCCTTGATCATTATTCATGAACCGAGCTGAAGCTATTGACCAATTAGGCTGTACTTAATAATTAATTAATGCCTTCAACAACTTCTCCAATTTCATTCATACTTCATCATCTTTTATGACCAGAAAACTTGGATACTTTCAATGATTCTTTTCACACTTCAATTCACTCCATATTTCATACGTTTGTTATTTTTTTTTTAAAATAAATTTTATTACTTTATATATATATATATATATATATATATATATATATATATATATATATATATATATATATATAGGCAATGCTTTTATTATATATTTAATAAAAAAAAAATCACTTTTAATCTTACTATACAACTAATTTTTTTTTAGCTGACAAGGAAAACCTGCAATCTTTATCTGAGAATGTACACTTGATAAACTCTGTTTTTGTGTAATAACCAACAAACCACATAAAAGAGTTTAACCGCACTAGGAATACATTGTGTGACATGCTCAATTGAAATGTGTTAACAATAATTGAACTCGTGACTTTCATGTATAAGATAATTTGATCATATTTAATTTTACGATTTTGCTAATATTGTAAAAAATGCTAACCTTAATCTTTTGTTACACTGTACTCTTTATTCAATTAACATTAATTTATGAAACAATTATTCAGTAATTTCACAATTTTACTCTCTTTTTTATACTAAAAAATGTTAATACATGATAATAGGATGTATGTAGCACTTTTTTAAGAAGAAAATGTTTCTTTTGTACTATACTATGTCATTATTTATTATATCATTTATGATTTTAAAAAAAATAAGAAGTTGGTCTACTTAAGGGACACAATCCCCCATCTTCAAATAATATCAAGTAATAATTTAACTTTAAATTAATAAGAAACAATAATTGAATATTCAAAAATCACAATATAAACATATTTTAATTTTTTTTTGCTCAAAATGCTTACATTAGCTGCTTAGGCGTACACGGTATGCCACAAACAACTTACCAACAATCAATAAGACTTTTTTTTTTTTTTTTTTTAAATAGTATTAATTAATTGTTATTGTTGTGGGAGAAGTATGAAGTTTCCACACCTCATGATAAGATTTGTCTGTTTTATTTCTTACATAATACTCCATATAGAGACTATTTTGCCTTTTACTAGACCAAATAATATCTCATTCATCAATAAACTTATAAAAAATAATTAATAATAACTTCTTAGGCTATCTAGCCAATGACGTCTAGTGGCATAATTGGTTCCCCAAAAAGGAGGTCATGGGTATAAGCCTCAATGAAACAGTATTAATTTATTGTGTTTCACTAGATTGAGTAAATAATGATGAACAGAAATCACATTATAACAAAGTCAATAGTACTTTAAAAAAAAATCGTATGCTAAGGAGAAATTGTAAATTACTGTTACTTACAGGCGTTTGGTTCAGTGGATGCTTCAATTACAATATTTGGTTGAAGGGAATTGCAATTCCCTCTTTTTGTTGAATTGCAATCCATGGGGTACCCCATGAATTGCAATTCAATGAATTTGAGAAAGGAAAAACATATGAAATGACATTACTACCCTTGGTTGTTATTACTATTATTATTACACAAGGGTATTTTAGTCTTTATACCACTTATTTCCTTCTCAATTTCAATAATTATATTTATCCCTACCAAACAACGTAATTTGAATTCCTACTTTATTCTTTTCCTATCGAATTACAATTTTTTTTTCCCTAATTCATTCCTTCCTTCCAACCAAACGCCCCGTTAGTATATTTTTGTTCGTTTAGTAAATAAAATATGTTTTTCATAATTAAAGGTTATGAGAAATAAACTTGTTTTTTCCTGAAAATAACAGGTCATTTATTCGTATTTTCGCTTCATGCATCAAAATACATTGTTTATAAAATTATAGTTGTAATTATATCTTTAAAATATTGGAGGGGCTAATTGACTCTTAAACAAATCTTTGAGTGCCTATAATTAAATTGTGATGTTGAGAGTAGAATTGTGTTTGATTTGGTCGGGAAAAACCATTTCGTAGACGGGGAAGATGGGTTTCCTTTTCACCTGCAACGAAAATGTAGTTTTGACTTTTCGTGACTGTGAAACCTCCGTACGCCAACTCGGTAAACAGTCCAGTTTCCCGTCTATCTACCAATACAGATAATGTTTGCATTATATATTATATATATATACACGCACATACACGCGCGCAGTCATCTAGACGCATCCATAGCTGGAAGATTCATCAGAGTTGAGAGGATACGATTCCCAATTTCTGATAGTATATGCAGCAGAAGAGAAGAAGATATCGAGCAGGAATAAGGTGTGGGAATGGAGGTGAAAAGGCGGGCAGTGAAGAATTTGGTGACGAAGCTGGGTTCGGTTTCGGAGCGGAGCCGGACGGAAGCCATCTGCGAGCTGCGAATCATTTCGAAGAACGACGCGGAGAGTCGGCCGTTGATCGCCGACGCCGGCGCAATCCCTTTCCTCGCGGAATCGCTATATTCCTCCGATAAAGACTGCCAGGAGAACGCCACCGCCGCCTTGCACAACCTCTCTATCTCATCCAAGGATGCGCTCATATCCACGCGCGGACTCCTCGACGCGCTCTCCCACGCCCTCAGAAACCCTAGCTCCGCCTTCACCGCCCAGTGCGCCGCCTCCGCCATCTTCAGTCTCCTCACCGTGGAGGACTACCGGCCCATCATCGGCCACAAGCGGGACATCGTCTTCGGCCTAATCGACATCGCGAGAAACCCTAATTCAGCTTCTAGGTCAATCAAGGATGCGCTCAAGGCGCTTTTCGGGATCGCGCTCTACCCTCTTAATCGGTCCCAAATCATCGAGCTCGGGGCCGTCCCGGCGCTGTTCTCGCTGGTCTGCAATGACGGTAGGGTAGGGATTCTAGAAGACGTCACCGCCGTGATCGCCCAAATTGCAGGCTGCGAGGAGAGCTGGGAGGCGTTCAGAAAGGTTTCCGGCGTCGGAGTCTTGGTGGATTTGCTGGACAATTCCACCGGATCAAGCAATCGGACCAAAGAGAACGCGGTTTCCGCACTATTGAATTTGGTACAATGCAGTGGGAAAGAGGTCACCGAGAGCATCCGGGGACTGGTTTTAGGCGCAGTGGATGGTATTATTGAAGTGGCGGAGAATGGAAGCGACAAGGGGAGGAGCAAAGCCATGGCATTGTTGAAGCTTCTTGATGTTAGCAGCTGTGAATTCTAAGGGGTAAAGATTCAAACGTTTTCATGCCACTCTTCTTCAAGTTATTTGTAGGTAACTTTCCTCAGATTTTGAGTTTTTATAGTTTTGATATCTTGACAAGTAAATAGGTGTTTGGCTGTATAAATGAATTGATTAAACTATACCATATAATAAGTGAAAGCTCCAAACTTTTCATCTGTTTGCATCAAATTTGGTTTATTACCAAGTGACTTTTGTGTTTATATGATACTCCAAAACAGCCCTTTTGTTCAAGGAATAGTCCTTAAATCATAACATTCCTGGGAATAGGCTTATTCCGGTGTTTGGTAATACTTTTTATTCCCGGGAATATTGTTATTGGGGATGAGCTATTCCCTTGCAAGAGGAATATGTATTCCAGGCTCCTGGGTATTAGGCTATTCTTGAATTGAATGCTCCCCTGTCCAGTACGTACCTTTGATCCTAAGTGCTAACTCCCATTGGTAAATTTATGTTGTAGACTTATAGCAGAGTTATGTAAGGTCAGAGAGGAGTTTAAAATATGCGGTGAAGTGTGGAAGAATGGAAGATTATGAACGCCCAGTTCAGGTGTACAGTTGTGTTGCTTATCGTGTTTTGTACTGCTTATATGCTCTCTCAGTTTCATACCTGTGCAACAATCTATGGCATTAGTCATTCTAAAAGACTATCTCAATCATTATCTTGTGATCACTATAGCATTTGGTGCTAGGAATTAGTCAAACTAAGTGGGGTCATTGAGTTGATTACAGCAGAACTCAACACTATGATCTAAGAGCTTGAGAGCAATTGAATTATGATGAAGCTTCAGTGACTGGTTTTGATTCTTAAAGTGAATGGAATGATGTCAGCATAATATCTTCCAGACAGTGCAATGTAATAAGATGAGCACTGAGCAGAGTAGTTTTGGGATCTTGGATTTGAGTGTTTTTGTTATTATTCTCTTTCCATGGTGATGCCAGGATCAGCCAATGATATTAGTTTAGTTGATTCAACTTGTAAGTGATTAGATGATTGGGGGCTAATATACTTTGTAATGAAGTGATTGAGGATGTATTCCGGTTCAACTAAAAGTTTAAGACTGCAGATATATGTTTATATATTTTGTGCTCAACAGAATTAACTTTTTGTCCCAAAAGGTATAATCTCCAACCTCAAGGGTTTTCATATCCTAGTTTGACTGAATATTTGTAAAGATGTAAATCACGGTAGTTTAGTGGTGCTCATAAGAGATATGCTCACTTTAGACATAATCTTCATACTCTGATCCGACGGAGCATTTGGGATGATGTAGATCAACGAAATTAACTTGCAAGTAAAGAAGGTTGATCATAATATTAAAACAACTCTCAAAATTTTGAAAGATCATAGCCATAGGACAATCTAATGAAAACTCTAGTTATGAAAAATCTTGATGAAAAATGAGATTATTTTGTAAACAAAGGAATAATGGATGAACAATTAAAAGTTACGATAGGAACTAGGATTGAATGATTGATGCATGGTTAACTTAAAATGTACAGTGAAATTTGGATTAAGACCACTCAAAAAGGCCCATTTTTTTTACCATGTAAAAATTGCTTCGAGTCCATCTACTTTCTCCATCATATTCGCATTTTATTTTAGGGTTCATGTTAGACAATTGTTATTGCATGGACCATGGTCCACACAACTTGTGTGAACCATGGTCCAAAACAACGCTGTCTCTCCACTTAAGGAGAGACGGCGCCGTTAGTTGCGCATCTTTTTTTTTTTTTTTTTTTTTTTTTTTTTTAATTTTATCAAAAGCGCAGCGTTCTTCCTCAGTTCCTCTCGAACAGTTCGGATGCCATCTCCACCGCTCAAACAGTTCGCAACGCCATCTCCACCGCTTCCTACTCCATTGCTGTAGACGCGACGCCGAGACTCCATTGCTACAGAATACAAGAGTTTCTTGTACACTGAAGGGAGTGATCATCCATCCAACTCCACCGCGATGAGGTACATTTTCAACTATCTAGAGTTTTAAAAATTCTTCAAGCAGAAATTGTGCAATATTGTTCGTTGTTGTTTATATGTTGTTTTCGAGTAGATTGTTTTTGTGTACAAAATACATTATTGATATGCATAAAGTACATATTTGATTGCCTAGGGTTCTTACTAGTTTTTAGGGATTATGAAGAACTGCTCCATTGGTGAAGCTTTGTTTTTTATTTTAATTTAATTTAATTTATTTGTATTTTATGTGAGAGTCTGATTTCTTGCTCTGTTTTTTTTCCCTTTATTCTCTTTGCTCGACTCTGCAACATCAACCTTGGTTGATTCACTTTTCTCCATTATCCAAACCTTAATCAATATAATCCGATGATGTTTACTTCTTTTTTGATTTTCTAGTTGATTAAATGCTCAGATGCATGAAAGGGGATTATATAAGTTAGTCTTGATGATTTTATCTTCATCTTTTTTTTTAAAGAATATAATATATATTTTGAATTATTCGGATAGTGGTGCAAGAACATATTCATACTTAATCAATTATTGATTAATATAATCAAATAGAGAATATAATTTGTGATATGTCATATGATGGAGCACATAGATATAATTGTTTGGTCAAGTGCTTGTCTATTTCTCATTGTAAGCTTTTTGCATTAATTTTGATGGTCTCATCCTTATCTTCTAATATTTCTTTTGCATTCTTCTACTTTGCTATTGAAAATTCTTTTCCTCAAATTTTAGTCAATAAAGAAGCTAAACTTTTTAGGCTTAGGCCATCATTTAGTTCTTTGTCATAATTTGCTGAAAATGTACATTATTTTTTTTCCTAGTGTACTTTATTTTTTTCCCTAGTGTACATTTTTTTACAGTGTTGGGTTTTAAGTGCATCAGAATTAAAATTTCATTCAATCTAAAAATGTACATTATTTTTGTCCTTAATGTACATTATTTTTGCCCCTAGTGTACATTATTTTACAGTGTTGGTGTTTAACTTCATCAGAATGAAAATTTCATTTATGTAGTGTATTCTAACCTGTTAGTCACAGCAAAAGATGACTTCAAACAAGGATACTAAGCAACTGAAGAGAAAGTATCAAAGGAAGAGAGCTAGAGCAATAGATAATCAACGAACATCACAAGAGTAGCAGTAGCATCTCGAGAAAAACAACCTTAACACTAGAATGTCGCCTATCGAATTTCTACGGTTGATGGAGAAACTAACAAATGAGCAAAGAAAAGCGATAGAAGATATTAGATTTGGATCACTACTACAGTAAAAATTGTCATGTTGGGATACAGAATTGTGTGCATATCTGGTGAACAGATTTGATATATATGTGCATGCCATTTTCCTAAGATCCTTGAGAGCAAAGTATGCTCATGCACAACAATGCTGCCAATCAATGAGGAGAAAGAGGAAGTGCTGAAGAAAGCAAGATAAATATATGTTTCAAAATGACATTGAATGTTCAATAGATTTGAGTAGGTTGCTATAGCGGGTGAAAAATTAATTTTTGATTTTGGTTCCTTGATTTTTTTTAACAAGGTTGACATGTGCATTATGAAGTGACAAAATGATGTAAATTTTGCCAAAGTTTGATAGGTTACTATGTTTTAAATTCAAAGCTTAACAGTTGCAATATTTTAATGTCATTAATCATATTATATTTTGCAAAATTTAGATATAAAATATTTAATATCTAAAGTAATTAACTACATCATAAAAAATTTAAAGAGAATGCAAAATTATCAAAAACCTAATGCATTACTTAGCTTTTATGTATATATATATGAACAAAATGTACTACATAAATGCAATTTTTATTCTGACCCACATAAACACCAACACTGTAAAATAATGTACACTAGGGGCAAAAATAATGTACACTAAGGACAAAAATAATGTACACTAAGGACAAAAATAATGTACATTTTCAGATTGAATAAAATTTTAATTCTGATAAAGTTAAACACCAACAGTGTAAAATAATGTACACTAAGGGCAAAAATAATGTATACTAAGGACAAAAATAATGTACATTTTCTGAAATTTTAATTTTGATGAAGTTAAACACAAACACTGTAAAATAATGTACACTAAGAGCAAAAATAATGTACACTAAGGACAAAAATAATGTACATTTTCAGATTGAATGAATTTGAATTCTAATGAAGTTAAACACCAACGGTGTAAAATAATGTACACTAGGGCAAAAATAATGTACACTAAGGACAAAAATAATGTACATTTGCATATTGAATGAAATTTTAATTCTGATGCACTTAAAAATCAACACGGTAAAATAATGTACACTAGGAGAAAAAATAATGTACACTAAGGACAAAAATAATGTACATTTTCAGCAAATTATGGCAAAGAACTGAATGATGGCATAGGCCTTTTAGTGGACTACTAAATTGCACCAACTAGTTGTATTCAAACTCAATAATCAACTCAACAACCAATCTCAAACATAAAGATCATAATATTTAAGAATAAAGTGCATCACTCCAAAACATCAAACATGAAATTCTAAATCAAGTCTATATCCTGCAAAATTCTATTACAATTACAATCAATTATCATTTGAAATATTTTGAGATCCAGACCTAACACAAACTAACTTTGAACTACTACTACCACTTGAATGAACAAGATATCCACTCCCGACAATCTCATAAACAACATGTTGAACTGAAGATTGGACTGCAGCATTTGTGTTTCGAAGTCTTCTAAACTAATAGGACCAACCTCAGCTTCAATATTTCTTCTAAAATCATCAAAACCTGCCACACAAACTTGACGAACTTTGCAGTTATCTTGACTTGAAATAACTAATCTTTGGAACTTCCTACGCACTTGTATAACCCAAACTGAAGATGCAACTGTACCCATATTTGAACCGGATGAAATATCCATGATCCTATCTTCAACAACTCTTTTTGTCCACCTTCGACATATATATTGGTCAGGTATTGTTCTAGCACGGTTAATGTTGAGAATACGTAGACAATGTGAGCATAAGATTCCCATCTCAGAAAAAAAACTTACAACTATAGCTAATGTTCATATTCTTGAGGTTAAAGCAAACCTCATGCCGAATAATGTCAATATCCGAGCGCCAAACATGATATTTCAAAAGCAAACACAACTAATGATCAACTTAAAAATTATTACAAAAAAAAAAAAAAAAAAAAAAAAAACAAACAAACAAACCTGGAATAGAAGAACTCTCATCCATAACTTTGAAAAATTAGAAGAACTGACATGAACCCCAATTTGTGAACTCTAATCAGCTGCACCCCAGAAGTAGAAGTGTCATTAATTGAATAATTTACATTGCATACATGATCAATAATACTATATATTATGCACTTAAATAATGTACATTATGTGCAAAAATAATATACATTATGAACAAAGATAATGTACCTTGTCCAATCAATTAACCAAACCCTAAACACAATACATCTACTGCAAGTCTGCAATGCGATGCAAATCAGAAAAAATACGCAAAAGACAAACCTAGATCAACATCAATTGCATAAATCAATTAAATATAAACCAAAGTATTCGTATCACCTCCAATATAGAAAATAAACAATATCAATCTAAATTCAAATTTAAAACGAAACCTAAATCGCATGTAAACACCTGTATTAGCATTCTCCAATTCGATCGCATCCATTAAATTGAGAGAGAAGCGAAGAATCCTCAAAGAGAAATTGAAGACAAAGAAATTGCAATTTGCCAAGCAATTCACAATGACAAATCAGCGATCGGAAATCAACAGCGAAGGAGAGAATGTGCAGCGAAGGAGAGAATGTGCGAGTGATTGGCCACACAGCAGCAAAGGAGAGAATGTGCGAGTGATTGGCCACACAGCAGCGAAGGAGAGAATGAGCGAGTGATTGACCACACAGCAGCGAAGGAGAGAATGAGCGAGTGATTGACCACACAACAGCGAAGGAGAGAATGAATAACAGACGACTAACGCCGTTAAAATCAAAGCAGCGATTTTTTTTTTAAAAAAATTAAACGACATCGTTTTATTGCATAGTCCATACAACTTGTGTGGACCATGGTCCACCCAATAATTTGCCCATGTTAGATTATCCCCTATGAAACCAACATTGGTCTTGTTTGTGGGGATCGGGTCAGGTCCTGTCATTTTATAGGTCTGGGGCATGACAAAAAAAAAAGTTATACGAAGTTAACATTTATTTTTATATCTAAAATAATCAATAATCGCATCAATGCCTTCATAAATAAATAATTATAGTTTATAATAAAAAGGAATAAGGACCAAATTGGTCACTGAACGTAACGCGAAAGTGCAATCAGGCCACTGAACTAAAAAAACGTGCAATTACTCCCTTCAACATGTCAAATGCATTCAATTTCACCTATTAGCCGGTTGCAAGCCCTTCTTTCCGGTGGATTGCTGACCAAGATGATTACATGGCAATATTTATTGTTTTCCTTTATTTTCTTTTATTCTCCTTTCTTCATGCGTGTAAGAAACAAATCGGAATCCCCAAAGCCTTCAATCAGACATCAGAAATCAGCAAACCTCCATAAACATCTCACCCTCGCCTCCCCCTTTTCTCTCACCCCATGGAAAGTGATACTAATTACTAAACCCCTACCTTAAAACATACAGTGTGTTCTTCCACCCTTCACTTGATATCAGCCTTAGTTTCTAATGTTTGCCACATCTTTTTAAAAATCTAAGCTTTTTGTTGGAAATACCCACAATTTCCCACGTGTTTCTTGGAGCTATCAAGAATTTTCCAGGAAAGAGATGTAGAATGCTCTGTTCTTTTGGAACTTTTGGTTATATTTTAGCTGTTATAGTTGTACTTCCTCTGCATTTTTGGGTTTTAAAATCTCTGGGTTTGATAGAACCAAGATTTGGGTTCTTGGAGAAGTATGGTGGTGATGATGTTGTTGGGGTAATTTAGGAGATCACGGAGATGTTAATGTACTTGTCTGGACTGTTCGTGGGAAGACCAGAGGTCGCCGGATCTCCTTATTGCTGTCGTCGTTCGGCGCTGTTGTTGCTGGTTCGTTGGAGCATCACCGGAGGTCGCCGCCATCCGCACAATGCATGATGACGGCCGGAGAAGTCTGCTTCACTGTGTACTTGATAGAGGGCGCGGAGAAACCCCCATGCATCAAAGATCGATCTCCAAAGCCGAAGTCGAAAACCACCTTGAGGGCCGTCGAAGAAGAAACCACGCCACCCCACGCCCAAACTCTGTACGAACTCTAAAGCGGAGGGGAAACCCACCTAGAACTCTAGAAGAAGCACTTGCTGCTTGAGAAACGTACTGCCCTGAACGTAGATGAGCTTGGACTGCCAAAATGAATGAATAGATTGGACTGCCAAAATGAATGAATTTCTATTCGATTCTTATGGTTTTTATCCTCCATTTGATGTTAATATGATTTTGAGTGAGGAGGCTTGCAAAGAGTACTGCACAAATCGAAGATACGGAGCTTTGGATCTAAAAGATGCATGTTGTTAGAAAAGAAAGCAGCAAATTAACGACAGAGATTAAGAGCTTGAAATCTATGGGCCGGGACTAAGAGAAGAGAAGAGAAATGGACACGCTGGAAGAAAGGAAAACAAAAGGAAAAGAAAAAAAAAAATTCCCATGTCATCATCCAGGTCAACAAGTAACCGGAAGGAAAGTGTGGGAACCGGCTGGTGAAATTGAATGCATTTGGAGGGTTGAAGGGAGTAATTGCACTTTTTTTTAGTTCAGTGGTCCAATTACACTTTCGCGTTGCGTTCAGTGGCCAATTTGACCCTTATTCCTAATAAAAATGAATGCAGAATATAAAATTAAATAAGCTTACAAACAATAACGTCGATAATAAATAAATAAATAAATTTATTATTAATAAAAATTTAGAAACAAAACTTACAAACATAGGGGAGCTAAAAAAATTTATAAGTAGAGATGAGAAATCAAAATACTTCAAAATACTTATATATAAAATCTAACTTTATGTACAAATTACTAAATGTTTGAATAATTTAGTTAGTTGAAACTCTAAACTTAATATCAAATTTCGTAAGTCATGGGGTCCAAAATTCACCAGCAAATCTTATACAAGTTTATATCGCGAATTTCATGATGATTTAGCTTAGAGCGATGGACCTCGTCTTAACTGAAAATGGTTGGTTTCATTTAATGCTTGGCCTAAAGCAGTTAATCTCGTCCTGTTTGGACTAGATCAGATGGAGTGATGATTGATCTCATCATTCTACTCAATTTAGGGTGATTCATCATCTATCTTGACCTCGTCCCGTGCAGTACGTCTAGAACGACTAGCTAGCTTTGCCATGCTACAGTTGGAGCAAATCCAAGTAATGTTCTTCATAAATTAAATCATTTCTCCTGATTTATGCGATTGCATGCATTACATGGCAAGAGCACCGATATTTACTGTTTCCCATGTGGATATACGGTCATACACCACCAGATATGCAAGATTAATGCATGGATTTTCTCGTGCGAATATGCGATCATACATTACCAAATATGCAATAATGCACCATCAAGTGTTAAAAATGCACCAGGGTTTGATGCATTTTTTAGTGTATTTGTGCATTTCACC